ATGTACAAGCTAATATACTGGCACGGAAGTTTGGTTCATGCTCCGTGGGAGTAAAACTGGCTTTGTTTAAAGCGTATTGTACTTCCTTGTACACTGCTCATCTGTGGTGTAATTATAAAAAGAGCAGTCTTCAGAAACTGTCAGTAGCTTACAACGACGCCCTAAGGATATTATTGAAAAAGCCTAGATGGACGAGTGCTAGTGATTTATTCGTGTCATCTCGAGTTAGTACATTTTCCGCTGTTTTAAGAAACCTGATGTTTAAATTTATTTGTCGCTTGAATTGTTCAAAAAATCATATCATTTTATTGTTGACTAATGTTGCACACAGTGACATGTGTTTTACTTCTGTTCTCTGGAAACACTGGTATACCTGTCTTTTAAAGGGGCAGTAGTTTTATGGGTGTTCTTGTGCTCTCGTTTTAATGTATTTTCTGTTTTTATTGTTTCGTTTTTAAACTATTCTTTTATTGCTTTTATTTGTTTTGAACCTGGACCTTGAGTCTGTAATAAAGTGTCGTCATCATCATCATCAATAATCACTATCACATGACAAACAACAGTGTCTTCCTGTTCAGCCCATCATCTGTTATCGCACAAGCAGCTTCCTGTCCAACCGCTCACTACAGGAAACTACAGGCGCACAGAAACTGGTTTCCATCACTCACGGTGAGAGGACACGCACTGGCTTTTCATTTAGTTTGAACCATGCTCTCACTGCAAGTCACTTCCTGTCTCTCAGGTGCAGGTCAGGTGTCTGTGGTGTGTTCAAATGCAACTTATAGTAGGAAGCATGAAGCCTTTGATCAGTCAGGTTTTGTCTGTTTCAGCCATTGATTGTAAAAACCATGGACAGGCTAAGAGTTCCCAGAACTAAAGCCACAGGGGCACGGTTGCCCCCTGGTGGCTGGTTTCAGTATAGGTTAATAAACCTCGGAGGGGAAGTAGTGGTGTTGTGTCCATCGTATATATCGATGGTTTCAGCTTGACAGGAGTAACTGACTGACTGGTTATTGTAAATGATAGCACAGCAGCATCAGGTAACCTGTGTGTGTGTGTGTGTCATCATGAGGGCCTTGCACAACAGCAGACAGAACATGCATGTGGTCTTCTGTGTTTAAATCTGTGAGGACCTGTTTGGGTTTCTGGGACTTTCAGTCTGGCCCTGGGTGTGTGAGGCTGACTCGTTAACTATGGCTATTAAAACAAGAAAAATCTGAAAAAGAGGAAGGAACTACAAAGACGGGAAGTTGAAATAGCCGGGAAGTCGAAATAAGCCAAGAAGTGTGTGTGTGTGTGTGTGTGTGTAAAAGTGGATGTTTTGCTAACATTATGAGGGCTGAACTTGACACACACACACACACACACACACACACACACTGGAAACAAACGCGATGGAGACAATCAAGGTGCCCTCACATGGCCAGATCCATTTATGGCATGTGTGTGTGTCCTTGTGTCTGTGTGTGTTAACCCGCCCACACACACAGACATGATTTCATTTCAGGGCGAGCAAGCAGGACTGAAGAATAAGAATGAGAGAGAAAGAGGGGAGGTGGAGCAGCAGAGAGCTGAAGTAGAGAGAGAGTGAAAGGCGACTGAGCGTGTGTAGTCCAGTTGTGTGCAGACAGAGGAGAAGTCAGACCGAGCGGGAATCGAACCAACGGCCTGCTGAGGACGAGGCTCTTATTCGTGATCATCTGCAGAGAGACAGGTCAGAGATTCATCTTTTCTGTTCAAACTGCAGATTCTTTCTGATTCGACTGAAGGATTTGCATCAATAAAATATTATTAGACATCGTTTTAGAACAAGTGCTTTGGTATCTCCACCACCGTGTAAAATACTCACAATGTAAAAAATTCACATTCAGGTTCTTACTGAGATACAATAGTAGTTTTTACAGTCATAAAGTCTGTTCACATTGTGAAAATTCATTGATTTAACAGTATAAGCAAATATGATTGCAACTGCATTGAATGTGTTGTTAGGGTCAGATAAGAGAATTTATTGTGTACTTTCACCGTCAAAGTAAAAAATGTACTGTTACTGTACAAGTAAGACCTTTTGCATGAACATGCTTTGCAAAAGGTTTATTATTATTTACCACCATAAACAAACAAGCTACCGCCATCATTTCTGAGATTGTCGGCCAAAACAACATAGTTAACAGTGAAAGCAATTATTTAACAGCTCAATTACAATTGTTTTACTTTGACTTGTACTGAAAGTAAAAGTACCAATATCATCATGTAAAAATACTCAAAGAATTTACACAAAGAAAAAAAACACTGCTGTGGCAAACAACAAGAAGCTGCTGAGGGGAAAAATGTTTAAATTCATCTTTTATTTTTGTTCAAAGTGAAAATGTATTGCTATAATTCTCACAAATAAATTAGTGTAATTAACAGTGACATTAATAATTTGTGTCTTTATTGGCAGAGAGTTAAAACCAGACTGGTTTGAGTCTTTCCTTAGCTTATGGCTTTATGATCTACACGAGGAAATGAGAGTGTCTTAAGGCTGCAACCACATCTCGGGATCAATAATCTAAATACCAGGGACTAAGCATCAGACCCTGTGGTGCTCCTCAGGACACAGTGAAGTAATCACACAAACACACTATGGTCAGTCAGTGAGACAGGTCTTTACCGGAACAACACACAGACGTCTTTTGTCAAGTCACAGCAGGTCACATGACTGCAATACACTAATAAACAATAAACAATCTGGTTTGCTACATGTCTGACGGCGACATACTGTATTACTGTTTGGTGTCTTCTCAGGTGTTACTCCATGGCGACAGGTGTGTTTGCCTTACTGAGTGTATGCGTCTGCTTGTGCATTGGGTTTAACCTTGACACGACATTCCCGCTGTTGAAGACGGGCAGAGATGGGAGTCTGTTCGGACTGTCTGTTGCTCTGCATCAAGACCTAAAGACAGATGCTTACCTGTGAGTACACACCTGTCTGTCCATACATGTACCCTCTGTACACTTGTCTGTGCATTACAGGTCTCTCTGTTCACCTTTCTTTACACCTGTCCTGTCCTGTTCTGTTCTGGGTCTGAACTGTCTGGGCTGTTGTTTAGAGCCCCAGCTGTATCAGTCTGAATGTTTTAGTGCCGGTGGTTCCTGAGCCGGATTCAGTTCTGCTGTGCCATCACATTAATGACCCCTCAGTCTCAGGTTTTGGTCAGATCACAGATTCAGCAGAACCAGGTGGATTTGGCTGGGTGTCTGTACTGTACCTGTCTGTCGGTGTGTTCTCAGGTGTACCCAGGTAAAAGACTGACTCTGATGTGTCTTGCACTTTGTCTCCATCAGTTGTGGGACTGTAGATCTCCAATAAACTGTTCACATGGGTTTGTGTGACCACATCTTCCTGCACCGAACAACCACCAAACCACACGTTACGCTCTGATTGGCTGGTGCATGTATGATCACATCCCACACAGAACATGACACGTGTTTTGTATCTGACATAAAAAATGTGTCAGAGGTCACACTCACTGTGTGTGTTTTTATTATTATAATCTCTAAACACTCCTTCAGCACTTTATACGGAAGATACTAGTAAATTATTCAAAGAACAAAACTGTCACACACGTTTCAGAAAATATCCATAAAAGTATCAGTTAAATCTCCAAAAAATATTTCTTAAATCTATTAAAAGAAAATACAGCTAAAACTGTCAAACAGGAAATATGTCCACAACACATATATAGTGCCTTGCGAAAGTATTCGGCCCCCTTGAACTTTGCGACCTTTTGCCACATTTCAGGCTTCAAACATAAAGATATAAAACTGTAATTTTTTTGTGAAGAATGAACAACAAGTGGGACACAATCATGAAGTGGAACGAAATTTATTGGATATTTCAAACTTTTTTAACAAATAAAAAACTGAAAAATTGGGCGTGCAAAATTATTCAGCCCCTTTACTTTCAGTGCAGCAAACTCTCTAAAGAAGTTCAGTGAGGATCTCTGAATGATCCAATGTTGACCTAAATGACAAAGGATGATAAATAGAATCCACCTGTGTGTAATCAAGTCTCCATATAAATGCACCTGCACTGTGATAGTCTCAGAGGTCC